GTGGCCCCTGATTTAGGCGGCATAACATGATAACAGCGAATTAAAGCCTGTTTTTTTACATGAAAATGAACAAAAACTGCTGCACTGTCTGGCAAGAAAAGAAAAACTGAATCACATGACCGAGCATGAAACTGACATCCTGACTCGTACCCAGTTCCCCATTCAGTGTGAGAGAACGTCATTTCCTGCCTCTTTCGCAAGCTCAGCCGGCAGGAAAAACATAAACAACACATTTAATTTTTAAAAACGTGTGGTTACCCATACATTTTATGTTATGAAAGTTAATGTTCAAGTGGCAAACCTATTGAACACGTGGTTGCGAGGATTTAAGCTATTTAGACTGTGTTTTGGCCAATCCAGAGGAGAGCTGTTAGCCAGGGACACTAAATAAGCGCTGTTGCGACGATTCGGTTTATAAAAAAACATACCAGAAGTTGTTTTTATGTTAACTACCATTTACCACATAGTTTAAAGGTCTTTTTAAATTTGGTTGCTTTTCTGTCTTCTCGGTTTTATGTAAAGGAAAATTCTAAGGAAATCTGTGAAGAATATTATCTTTTCCTTCTTTTTCAAAAAAATGCTGATGCCAGCATTAATGTGTTTTTCAGATTCAAGGCTAATTATCTTGGAAGAATGAATAGCCCTTTCTAAGATCTACTTTTTCCACATGGTCCTAATCTGGCAAAGGACCTTGTGTTATTCAGAATATAGAAATCTGCCAGTTACTTTCTTTCACTTCTTACACCAATTCTGGAAAAAAAAATTGCTTGGGAAAAGGATTAAACAAGCAGGAAATTTAATTTTGTTTACAAAGATATTAAGATGAAATCCGATAGAAAATTGAGCAAGTTTAGCTTTTACTGTAGTGGACAAAAATCAGTACCAGAATAATTTTAGGTATTTTACAGTAAAGTTTTACATGTTCTTAAAGCTAAAGATAAATTATCATCAATTACCTGAAATAAAACCAAAAACAATTTCCCATGGGAACAAGAGAAAATAAATTTCAAAGTTCAGAGAAATTGTGCAAACACAGGTAAAATTTCATCATGAGTTTCATTTCACCAATACTTTCAAGTGTTTCATTCAAAGTTCAACATTTCTTTTCGACATTTGGTGTTGCTAGAAATATTTTTTTTGAGAAGATATTTAAAACAGTCACACAGAAGTTTGTGATATGATGTAAGTAATCTTGGCACTAGGTTTCTGTCCACTTGTCACTCAAACTTCTGGTGGATTCCGTTGTAATATCTTATGAACCCTGACGCTTGTTTGACACATGGTATTGAATAGCATTATTGTCTCATGTCTCACTGAAGGATACAGTGTAGATGTTTTTATCACTTGGATTATTATGTATAAAAATTCCATCATTGGTTAACTGCAAGCTTCTCCTCTTTCAGATACAGATGCTTTTAAAAAAGGCACACCTAGTGACCGTGAACTAGATGACTTGGCATTGAAGATTGGTGCAGTGTGGGAAAAACTTGGAATTCGCCTTGACATTTCTCATGATGTATTGGAAGGAATAGATGCCAATGCAAAAGATAAACCATTTGAGATGTTACTTCGCTGGAGAAATACAACAACATCTACTACACCTTATCGTGAACTCTTTGAGGCCTTGTGTCATAGTAGAATTGGTCTAAATAACTTGGCCAAAGAATTTTGTTGTAAGGAAACTACATGATTCACTTTCTTACAGTACAACGTCTTGAACCAGGGCAGTCAGTAATTTGTGAAGTAGGCAGACCCCAACCCCAGCTACTTTTTTTCATTTCCCCGTGTACTTGAAAAATAAGTGACAGCCCTGAATTAAGGAACATATTTCATTCTATAAATCATATATTAAAGTAAAAACGTATTGTGGCAAACATATCAAGATTAAAAGAAGTGTCTTTTTGCGAAAACCCTAAAATTATGATGCAAATCAAGGTGTTTTGGTTACTGCTATGAAATCATCCCCATAGGTACAGATTTAGCTAAGGAGGGGCCCTAAAGGTAACGTTATTTCCTCTAGGAGTTGTAGGAGCACCCCCTGTGAAATTGTGAAAATCTAAACAAGCTCACACAGGATTGCTATGCACTCTAGAGGCTTAGAGACAAAATTTATTGTCAGTTTTTGCTGCTTATCCAGTGCAAAAACATGAAGAAACTTTGCTCACCTACAGCTTGTAGGTTAATCTTTTAACCTTTTTTTGCATGTAGACCGAGTGGCAAGTGGTAGAAATTAAACATAAGTAAACCAAAAAAATAAAATAAAATAAAATAAATAAAATAAGACTTTGCGAATGACTTTGTACTGGATTTTCAAGCCCCAAAATACACTGTAGTATAAATTACATCATGATTTAGGTTGAGCTTCTATTGAGCTAACCAAACAATTTGAAGACAAAATTCTGACAATATTGCCACAAAAAACAAGAACAGAGAAACTAAAAACTGTTTTGGGGTAGAGCTCTCTTGTAAGTTGAATATTTGATTTTAAAAAAATCATATTCTATTGTGTTTGTTTTAATTAAATTAATTAAACAAACTTTCCAAAAAAGAGAACTTCACTAATAAGAAATATTTATCTGATACAATATCTAATGTTTTTCTGTAGCTATCCATAATTAAAGAACCACTACCGTGACGTGGTGTTATTTCTATAAAGTGCAGTTCACTGTTGTGTATCATTTTCACCAGCACAGCCAAATTTGACGATGTGTTTTCCTTGCAGACATACCAGCTGGGAAGAGAGAGTTGCCACGTTCAAGTAACCATCCAGATGCT